TTATATATATATATTTATATATATGTGTATACGTATATATATTATATACCTTATATATTTATATATAAATATATATACATATGTATACACATATATAAATATATAATGTATATAATATATATGTGTATACATATATATGTATACACATATTTATATATATACATTTATATATAACTATATATGTGTATACATATATATACATACATATATGTGTGTATATATATACATATATATGTATACACATATTTATATATACATTTATATATATAACTATACATATATATGTGTAACTATATATATTGTAACTATATATAGTTATATATAAATAGTTATAAATGTATATATATATCAAGTCTATTATTTACAACCCACTATATAAAGAAGGCAAACTACTTTACTATGTTTACCATATAGTAATACTCAGATTATAGCCTCTGGAAATAGATTGCTTAGTTTTGAATACAGGATCCAACCCTTACTAATTTTGTAAGACAAAAATTATTTGACCCTTCTCTGTTCGGTTTTCCACATTTGTTAAATGTGAACAATAGTGTTCAATAAATGTAATTTTTTGGCTATGATTTAGAAATAGCAAATAGAGAGGCACCTGGGTGGCTCAGTCAGTTGAGTGCCCGACTCTTGATTTCAGCTCCAGTCATGATCTCACAGTTTGTGGGATCGAGCCCTACATCGGGCTTTCTGCTGACAGTGTGGAGCCTGCTTGGGATTCTCTGGTTCCCCCTCTCTCTACCCCTCCCTTGCTTGTGCTCTCTCTCTCTCTCTCTCTCAAAAATAAACAAGCATTAAAAAGAAATAGCAAATAGAGAGAGGTTTCAAATCAAAAGAAAAATCTCCAAATATTTAACAGCTACCCTGATTGATGTTCTGTTAATTTCACTTTCTGACAATTAGAAACACAGATCCATCTACCTAATGGTGATACATTTCTGTATCAAGTAACTCTCAAGGAGTGATTTGTAAGGCAAATCCTGGAGTCCCTATGTCTTCTTGATCTCCCACTCCCACCTGTGTGATCTTTGAGTTACATCTTGCTGACAGCTCTTGATTTATATCTCTAGCTCAGATTTCTACTATGATCCATTCTTATATTTAACTTCTTAGTCATTCAAATGTGTCAAACTTAACATGTCCAACATAGGATTTGATCTCCTCTGGAATCTAAACCTAGTTGTCCCCATAGACTCCCCCTTCTCTGTGAAAGACACCAGCAACCATGTGTCACTAGAACACATGGTGACAAAGATTCTCTCCTTGGCCCAGCTGTAGCCAGGCTACTCTGAGCCCTATTCTCAACCATGCCTCAACCTTGATCTCTAAAAAGTTGAACAAACACTAACGTAATTCCTAACAGCTCAAGGCCACATCCTAAGATGACCCCAGTCCCCCTTAAAATGCCTGCCTGAGAAAACTCAAGGCTGCCACTTTTTTTTTTTTTTTTTTTTACTGTTCATTCCAGCCAACACCTGTGGTTAGGGCTTCTGTCTCCCCATCTCTGTTGGAAGGTAGAATCCTAACCTCAGTGATTGCCAGCTGGCATACACAGCTGGCCTACTTGCATTAACTCTATTGAGCCCCTACTTGGCTCCCCTTTACTCCCCCATTCTTCCTTTAAAACACCCAATCATCTCTGTACAAGTCAAAGTTGAGTTCATTTCAAGTTGGATTCTTTTCCCTATGGCACTAATTTGCCAAAAGCTCAGATATAAAAGGAGTAAAACCAATGAATCACTAGGAGTAGTAACTAGTAAAAGTTTATTGTGCACATGCTAAAAAGATAGTTTGCAAGCCAGGAGCCCTCAACCCAAAACATGAAACGAGGCTCAGGGGTATATTGTATAAAGCAGCTTATATAGTGGCAAAGCAGAGTGTTTATTCCTCACAGTGACTGGTTATAGTATTAGAATTTGCTTAAATGATAAGATACCGGTTAGTGGGTTACCTCATATCAACCTTGGGAGACAGTTTAAGCTTTGCTTGTGATTTTCAGAGGTCAAGTTAGGCTTACAAAATACGTTAAATTAATCTTTGTTCATATCACTAAACTGGTACTGTCTGTTCACGGAATTTTCAAGGCTGGTCTCTGTCTTTGATTGTAACAAGTTATTACTGATTAAAAAAAAAAATCTGTCCTTACCACTTATCATGTTAACTGTGCAGCTTTGATCGTCTTTGACACTGGAAGTCATAAATAACCCGTATCATTCCCAATCTTTCTCTCTTATTCAATCCATTGGTAAGTCCTTCCCAACGCATCTTAAATTGTTCACCACTTCTCATCTTCACTACTGATGACCCGCCACAACCCTTCCCAGCCCCGTCATCTCTGTCTGCACTGCCACAGTAGCCTCCTAGCTGGTCTCCCCATTTTTACTCCTACCCTTCTCCCAGGAATCCCTCACCTAGCCAGAGCAACCTTTTTCAAACAGAAATCCAACAGACACTTTTTGCCCTAAGGCCCTTCAATGGCTTCCTATTGCATTTTGGATAAAATTCTACTGATTTGCTATGGTGGGTCCTCTGTGATCTGACTCTGATGTCTCTCGCGTCTTATGACACTCCCCTCCCTCCCGTATTGCTTCTTCAGTTCCTCAAAAATCTTGTCTTCTAATCAGTTGTAGGAAAAACCAAGCTCATTCCACCCGAGGGCCGTTGTCCTTGTTTGCTGTCTGGAATATTCTTTTCCTTCTTGCTTACTCCTTCTGAACTTTGAAGTCTCAGTGCAAATATAGCCAGATAGTCCAGTTTTTTCCCCCCCTTTGCCCCACTTTTCATGGATTTTGCATTATTTCGTTGTTGTTATTTACCTATTTTGGTAGGTGTTCATGGCACTCAACAAATATTTCCTTCTGTCTACCATCCTGAGCACAAGAGAGAATTGATCTCCCTGGCTTCCTTGTGGTTGAGTAATGCCACGTAACTAATTTTGGCCTATTATTTATGAGCAGAAGTAATAGTCATTTCCATGCTTGCCAATACGAGACCCTTCAGAGTTCTTTATTCCCTCTGCTACGGCAACCAGGAACATTGAAGGCAGTGGCTATAGTCAGCCCGCGTCCCTGAGTGACTATATTGAGGAGAGGTCCCCTACCATCCCACGATGGATACGTAGTAAAATAATAATTAAACGTTTCAGCTGCTGAGATCTGGGTGTTTACGACCACAGCCAACACTGGGCCTATCTTGACTGATACAGAAATTATTGTCAGAAGAGAGCTGTTACTAGAACAAAACACCTCAATAGATGGCATTGACTTAAGGGCTAGGTAGTACACAACAAAGGAAGTGATATTAGAAGCCATAAGGATGATGAATCATACCTACAGGAGTGAAACCTTTGGCAAAACAATCTCCCGCGGTAGCAAAGTAAAGCCTGAAAGGCAGTTGATGTACCCTGTACATTTGGAGCTCTAGTGGAAGAGACTGGAAAATGGAAAGCTGGTGGCATGTGTTGGTAACTATTTTTTGTGTGTGTATGGCGGGGGGGGGGGGGAGGCATGTTTTAATTTTTTTCTCCGCTTCACTGAGATATAACTGACATATAACTTTGTGTAAGTTTAAGGTATACAGTGTGATGACTTGATATATGCACATATTGCAAAATGATTACCTCAGTAAGGATGGTAAATACGTTCATCACCTCAAAGTTACTGTGTGTGTGTGTGTGTGTGTGTGTGTGTGTGTGTGTGTGGTGAGAACTTTTAAGCTCTATTCCCTTAGTATCTTTCAGGGATGCAATGCAGTATTGTTAGCTGTAGTCAGCATTCTGTACATCAGATCCTCACAACTTATTGACCTTATACCTAGAATTTTTGTACCCTTTGGCCACTTTCCCCCATTTGCCCCACCCCTAGCGTTTGGCAACCACCAATCTTCTGTGTGTTCGTTTGCTTGTTTGTTTCCTGTTGGGTGTTTTAGATCCACATATAAGTAAGATGAAGATCTCACAGTTTTTGTCTTCCTCTGTCTGACTTATTTCAGTTAGCATAATATGTTTCAAATTCATCCATGTTGTCTCAAATGGCAGGGTTTCCTTTTTCATGGCTGAATAATATTCTATTGGGTGCATATATCACATTTTCTTTATCCATTC